GGGGTAGAGTGTGCGGGGGTGGGAAAGCAGTCTATAGTCCTATGATCAGGTCTCAGTCTTTTAGTGAGCCTGAGCCTCTGGACTGTGAACTTTACAAATGTTTCTCAGATTTTTCCTTTCTCCTTAGGTGGGACAGAATGGCTAAAGTGGACTGGAGTTGGTCATTTCCCTTCTCCCAGGTCAGTTAGGCTCGAATAATATCCCAGCAGGTTAGGTTCCGGTGAACTAGTTTCTTCTGAGGGCAGGTCATTAAGAACAACAGAGTGCTCTGGCATATTTAAAAATGGTATTTTTTTCTTCCCCCCACCAGAAGCACAAGGAGATTTTTCTCTCATATTTACCTGGATATTTAGCTGTGGGAATCTGGTTGAGCTCTGGGAAGTAAACCTTCCCCTATGTGGGAACCCTCCCTCCATGACTGGGTTCCCCTGGAGATTTTAACTCTTGGTGTTGTCCACACTAAGCCTCCAGAAATTTGTCAATTACACTTTGGATTTTCTTACCCAGCATTGGTTCTTGATGCTGTTTCTGCATGTGCGTCTGTTTCAGGAAGCCATTCCTCCTGGTATTTGCATTTCTGTCTCTCCAATTTTTAGGGGCAGCAGTCTGCCCTGTGTCCTCCCTCATCTTATGGATCCAAGAAGAGTTGTTGATTTTTCAGTCCGGTCAACTTTTTAGTTTTTAGGATGGAGTGGTGACTTCCTTACATACAGCACCAAGAAATGGAAGTCAAATGAGAACTTTTAATAGAGAGTAAGGATGGAGGTGTGTGCCAAGAATGACTAAAGAAGGGATAATTTGAGCTGAGTTGTGAAGAACGAGTTGGAATTAAGTAGATGAAATGGATCAGAGAGGTAGAGAGTGGAAGTGAGGTGAAAATGATTTTGGCAAAGGGAATGACAGGGGCAAAAACTTACGGTGAGAGTATGATGTAATGGAGCAACTGAAAGACAGTGGATTGGCTGCTCTGTAGATTTGGGGAGGAAGTGTATTCTAAAGTAGGCTAGAGAGAAAGGAAGGGGTCAAGTAATGCAGGGCCTTGTAAGTCATATTAAGGATGTTGACCTTTATGTTAAGCCTGATGGGAAGCCATTAAGTGTTCTGAGCTGGAGGTCAAGGAGAAGTTGAATGATGCGATCAGTTTATATTTGGAAAAGATCACTCCGGTTGCCAGGTGGGGAAGGAATAGGAGGGTCAAGAATACCTATAGCAATAGTCTTGGTGAGAACAAATGGTAGCTTGGTCTAAAACTGGTAACAGTAGAAATGGGGAGGAATGCAATGAATGAAGGGCAACTTGGAGGTAAAATCTACAGATTATGGTGATGGACTGGATGTTAGGGGTGAGGGATAAGAGAAGTCTAAAGGATGACTTCTGAGTTCCTGGCTCATATAAATTAATAGATAGTGGTGCCACTCACTGAGACTGATATGCCAGATAAAAGACAAGATTTAAGGGAAGAAAGATTGTGGTTTTGGGCAAGTTGAAGGGCCGTTGTGTGATATCTAAGTAGGCAGTTGGATAAAGGTCCAGAATCTCAAAGAGGGGGTGGCAAGGAGTGTGGGTCTGTAAATAAACATTTGGGAATCATCCTGAGTGTGGGTGTGACTGCTGAAGTAGACAGCATAGAGTGAAAAGAGAAGCAGCCTAGGAATGTACCTTGAAAAACCCTACCATTTAATGGTTGGGTTGAGGATGATAAGCCTGCAAGGGAGACTGAAGAAATGGCCAGTTAGGAGAAAACCCAAATGAGAGTAGTAGTATAAAAGCCAAAAGGAGAGGTGCTTAAAGGGGGAGGGAGTGATCAATAGTGTCAGACATGGCTGAGGGCTCAGAATTAAATATGTTTATTGAATGTATTGACAAAGAGACCATTGGTGACTTCAGCAAGGGCTTTACTGGTAGAATAACAGAAGTCAAAGTCAAACTACTGTTTATTAACTTTCACAAATGATCTATTGCAACAAGGATGAAGATAAACTTAAAACTCAGCAAAACACAGAAATTAACTTTCATCAGTGTATATATTCATCATTGCATATTCCTGCTGCTTCTGTATCTTTTAGCAAAGTTTAATATTATGTAATTATAGTGCTTAGAAGGCCCTGTCATCATTTTACAGATGTGAACTGGGTAAAACTTGAGTCCATGGAGGCAGGAAGGCTGTGGGCCGTCCACGCAGCACGCTGTTCTTTCCATTGCATTATGCTCTGGGAATATGTTTCTTTGTTCAAATCATCCTTTACCATTCTGCTATACCATTCCATATATCAGTATTTAAATTTTAGAAGATAAGTTTTATAACATCAGGAAACATATCTGTTTTTTTGACATTAATGTCTTATTCAAGCATATAGTATTGTATAATTTACAGAACAGGCATGTAGTTTTTTTTTTATAGTGATCATATACAAGATACAGTATTCCTGTTACTTGGCACTCTGTTTAAGCATATGGTTTTGAGTGCATGGAATCGTAAGAACTTGAAGCCAAATGAAGGTTGAACTGAATATAGAATATATGTCTAGGGATTAGTTCTTTATAAGAGTGATTCTTGGCACTTCAGTGTTTGATTGAAATAAGTAAGAACCCTGGCCTCCCTTAAAATATGAAAGTAGTATATCCTTCAATTTGCTTTTTAGACTTGATATTTTTCATTTTGAGATTTAATGATATCCTCTCTGACTCTTTGGGATGTCAGAAAAAGTCAAATTTAGAAATTACAGTCTGTAAGCTTTCCAAGTCTATTCCGATTGGATTGCAGGGTCCTAAAGCTTCCTAAGGCAAATGATATGCATAGTTTCCTTTCTCTTCAGTGAGAAATAGCAAATTTTAGTTTAGACTAATTAGTTCTGCTCTTATATAATGTTGTCTATTAGGCTTTATGGAATAAAACAATACAGTGGGCTTGAATATATCATCCAAATGAAGAAAGACAAAATCCTCAAATTTTCAATTAAACTCAGCTGAGTCTTTTCACTGGGGTTTGGTTGCAAACTATACACTTTCTTCTGGCTCTAAAGAAATCATTTCATCTTCAGAGTAGTTGTTTTCCTAACATACGAGCTTTCAGAGGTGAAAGACTTTTAGAGTCATACATTTAACAATTTTGACTTAATAACTTTGAAAGTTCTCCATGTACATCTGGATACTGAGATTTTGCATTCGTGAATTAATGAAATGTTTGGTCATGATGAAAATTTTAATTCAGTATACAGTTAGGACTGGTTATTAGTTCTTAGCAGCCTGTAGTAGAATTCTATGGGCTGTGGGGGTGGGGAGGAGTGGAGAACAAGGTAGGGTGGGCAGAATAGGGGAAATGCCTGATTACAGAAAGTGATTAATGAGGGGCAGAATCTTGGCCCTCGTGCTCATTGGAGCCTGCAGCCCTAATTTTATTAATGGGTGAATTTCCATCACCAAACTTGATCCCAGATATTCATAAAAGTCATTGCTACTTCTCAGCCATTAAACCTGCCCCTTCCCTGGCCTATTAATAAAAATATTTATAACTCTGATATACCAGAATTAAAAGATTGCACTCTCCGTGCTTTAGTTAGTGGTTTAAATTGTTAGAAAAAAAGATAAACCAAATAAACCAATAAAACAAGCAGTTTCCAAAGTAGAAAAAGGATTGGGCTTTTGTCACCAACTGCATCTATGTCCCCAAATGACAAGTTGGTTAATGTCACTGTTCTTGATTTTTTATTTTGAGAATTAAAACTTAACACTCTTGAGTTGCAAAGAGTTCTTAATTGAATAGTATCTTTGATAAACACATGATTAGGTTTGGAAGGGTGATGTTAATACAGATATAATTTTCTAGGCTTTGAAATATTAGTCATACCTACAGTATAGGTTCATATCATACATTAACACTTTAGTTATTGGCAACTACCTGTTTTTCTACCACAGTTTTTTGAGACACAGCTCAGAACAAGAAGATAAACTTGGAAAGCTTCCCTCCAATCAGTCAAAATTGATAGTGCAAAATGTATGCATTAATTCAAAGTAAAGCTCCTTGTCCTACTCAAAAGTGTGTTTTTAAAAATTATTATTTTAGGCCGGGCATGGTGGCTCATGCCTGTAATCCCAGCACTTCGGGAGGCCAAGGCAGGTGGATCACCTGAGGTCAGGAGTTGCTGACCAGCCTGGCCGACGTGGCGAAACCGCATCTCTACTAAAAATACAATTAGCAAGGCATGGTGGCTGGCGCCTGTAATCCCAGCTACTAGGACGCTGAGGCAGGAGACTCGTTTGAACCCGGGAGGCGGAGGTTGCAGTGAGCCGAGATCGCACCACTGCACTCCACCCTGGGCATCAGTGATACCCTGTCTCAAAAAAAAAATTATTTTAGACATATTATTTTGTTATTTCCAGAACACAGTAGATACGAAGCAATGAATTATGACTGGTCCAGGAGCCCACAGAGTACTAGTAGCACAAGTGACAGCTGGTAGCTTAGCAGTGAAAAATGAAAATAAAAAACAGATTTGAGGATTTAGCAAAAATAGAAGTGTAGGAAAAGTTAATGTACACAAAACAGCCTTTCATGCCTTAGTGGCCTTTTGCCTTATTCCTGTGTTATGGACTGGTGTGAGAATGAACGTTCTTATTAATCAGATGGCACAGAGTAGACACCCGATAAACGGTTGCTGAATGGGTCTTTAAGAAAAGGCTGGGTTATACTTGATTAACTATCTTTATAGAATAAAGAAAAGGGTGTGACAGAGTTCCCTTTGCTGTAGAAAGATTTTCTTTAAAAATTTATTATTATTATTATTTTAAATCACATCTTCCAAACTTAAGGGAGTAAACCTTAGCTACCAAGAAAATTAACTTTTGGGAATAGCCTTGTTTTTTCTTAATTCTAAATTAATCAGGAATTAGTGTCATTTGCTTCCACATTTCATATTTACATTTTTATTTATTAGCACTAAGATACTACCACATGGGTGGTCATATAAATTGAATAATTTCTCGTTACTTTTGAATTTCAGAAGTCTCTATTATCTGGGGGAATGTATCAGAATTTGTGGGACGGCAGTTAACCCTGCACAAGGTAAGATTTATTAATTTATTAATAAATTAAATTTATTTACTAATTTTAATGTAGGCATCTAAAGGATCTTTCCTCCATAGTCTTATATAATGTTGCTGGGAGCAGGGCAGTAGACTTTAGAGCCATCCCGTTTAACTTCCAGTCCTGTGATTTTATGATGCTCATGCTTCGGACTTGTGGGTAATAGATGTAACAAACATGAATTTTATTTTTAGGTAATGAATTTGTAAGTTCTGCTCTTCTGGTGTTACAGAGTGTAGTGCTGATCAGCCTGGGTGTGTGTAAGGAAACTAGATGAGTTCTGTTTGTCTGTGATCTGATAGTTCCTGGCATAGCTGTAGAAAGATATAACGCTTCTTGTCTTGCCTCCTTGCAGGGAAAGGATTTTAATTGAAATAGAAGACTTGCCAAAATGACAAACTTTGCCCAGGGCTGGACTGTTCCCTCCTGTTAAGTCTTGGCTTTAGATGCCATAAAACTACATGGAGATTTGGGGATGAGCTTGGGGGAAGCTGGGAAGTTGTGAAACTTTTATACCCCATTCAGAGGTCCTACTGTGAGGGCCCTTGGGCAGAATTCATACTTCAAATTTATTTTGTTTGGCTTGAGAATTTGCATTTGTTATCAGCACTTAAACTTGGGAGAAATTATATAATGTTTTGGATTTTTCCCCTCCCTTTCATTGAAAAATCAGCAGATCTAACGATACTAGTCTTCCATTACTACGTGGTGACACATTTGGAGCTCAAGATGTGCTATTCCCTTTAGATGGGGTGTGCAGTCCATAGCCATTACATTCCCTGGCTGGCTACTTTCACTCTCTTGCTTTCTTTTTTGGCTTCTATAGGCATTTGAGTTTGTAGTCCTTGATATATGATATCTCCAGGGAAACAGAAACCCAGTATGAGAGCTAAAAACATTTGCTTCTACCCATCAGCCAGGATCACTACATTGCAGCATATGATTTGGATGCTGGGTTGTCTAAGTGGCAGACATAAAATCTAAAAGTAGGAATGAGAAAGCAGAGATTCTCATGCCCTCTTAAATTCCTCTAATGGCAGATGATTAAAATTTAAAATGTCACATAATTTAGGACAGGAGTAATCTTGGTTAAAGATTAAAAGATGCTATGACATTCACACAAATTTTCTTAGCCTTTTGATGATACAGAGATGAGTGATCTGATGTCTGTAAATCATCATGGACCAATATATTACATTTTATACTCAACTTATTTAAAAACTTAGAATTATAAAATGCTATCACTCTGAAGAGTCCTAGAGATCACTGAATTTTTAAGGCCTAAGCTTACTTCTCTTCATGTTTTTTGGATAATAATATTAAAGATTATTTTTTCTTCACTCCTTCAATGATTTTTATTTTTTTCCCTTTCAGGGGGTTCAGATTCCAGGATTTGGAACTTTCACTTTCATGAGACAAAAACTTGAGGTGGGAAACAACAAATTTATCTTAATCCAGAGGCCCGTGTTTATTATGGCGGAGAAGCTAGTGCAGATCCATGGACTCAAACAAAACAAAGTATATACTCCTGGTAAATAATTCTGATATGTAGGATTTTCCTAGAAGGTTACTCTCCTGGGGATTAAAAAAAAAAAAAAAAAAAAAATGAAAGGGCAAAGCATAGCCAGTGCTGCTGTCTTACCTTCTGATTTGAGGAACTCACTTTTCATAAGGTGCTTTTGGCACAGGGAGGGGCCAAAGTGGAAAAATAATAGAGTCTTCCTGAAGGCTATTTTAAACCCCAGTAACCTAAGAGGTAGGAGTGAAAAAACCTGATGTAACGTAACAGAAAATTTATGTAAAAGCCACACCACAGAGCTGTAAGCCCTTTATTTCAGATCGTAAGAAATTAAAAGTGGTTATAAAGAAGAGAAAGTTAATTAGGATTTCTGGTTGGGAGAACTACAATCAGTATCAGCTGTCAAAAAAATACCTTTCTATCATACGTATAATCGAAATCATTAAAATTTGAAAGTTAGAAGTTGAATAATTCCATAAAGACTTAATGCATACCTTACATACCTTTCTCACACCCTAAAGCCAACCTCCCTGCCTCCCTCCCTCCCTCCCTCCCTCCCTTCCTTAAATATTGATTGAGAGCCAACTATGTGTCAGACCTTGCTCCAGGTGCTTGAGACATAGTGGTAAACAAAATAGGCATAATCCCTGCCACAGACTGCTTCCATCCAGCTTTAGTGTGTGGGCTTCCTAACACCTCCCTTGGTTACTTAGCAGCCTTTGGGTGCATACTTTCTGATTCTTGGCTGTGTTCCTTTTGACCTTCCTGATTGTCCCCGCCCCCTGCAACAGACTCACACCTGGATGAATGGAGACAGTCTATCTCCGATGGCAACAGGCGAAAAGGCTGTAACTGTCCTCTAAGTTAATGTTCCTAAAAGTTAATTTTCAGAGTCACTTGAGTTAACTTTCTACTTTCAAAAGAATGATATATTAGAAGAACAAATGCCAACAAACCATACTTAGAATTTCTTAGGTATATATTCAGTATGGTGGGCTTGATGAACTTTTAGCTATTTTTACCTAGAGTTTTTTTTTTTCTTTTCTTTTTTCCCCCTTTCATGGGAACAAAAAGAAATACCTAGAGTTTTATGTCAGAAGAAATATATCCTATTTCATCAAAAACCTATCTAAGAAAATGAAAATAAAGCTAACATTTTTGCAAAAACATCTGTGCCTTAGAATTAAAGCTCATTTTCCATCTTGGATCTTGTACTGTAGTCCAAAAAAGTAGTTTACATCTAAAATTGTATTTTTTACTGGGTGAGGCAATTTCAGAATTAGACATGTATGACTGAATTAGTTCAAAAGAATAATTCTAGGCCAGGCATGGTGGCACAGGCAATGGTGGCACATGCCTGTAATCCCAGAATTTTGGAGGCTAAGGTGGGAGGATCACTTGAGGCCAGAAGTTCAAGACCAGCCTTGGCAACATAGCAAGATCCTGTCTCTACAAAAAATTATTTCAAAGAACTTAGGCGTGATGGTTGACACCAGCAGTCTCAACTACTTGGGAGGCTGAGGCAAGAGGATCACTTTAGCCCAGGAGTTGGAGGCTGCAAAATAATAATAATAATAATAAGATAAATAGGGAAATAAATAAAAATTTAAAACCCCCAAAGAAAAATTTCTGTCTACGTTTAGCTTTGGGGTTATGATTCTTCATTATTAATTAACTAGGTAACTGTATTTGTCTGTTCTCACACTGTTATAAATAACTACCTAAGACTGGGTAATTTATGAAGAAAAGAGGCTTAATTGACTCACAGTTCTGCAGGCTTAACAGGAAGCATGGCCAAGAGGCCTCAGGAAAGTTACAATCACGGCAGAAGGCAAAGGGGAAGCAAGCACATCTTACTATGGCGGAGCAGGAGAGAGCAAGCGTGAAATGGGGAGGTGCCACACACTTTTAAACCATCAGATCTCATGAGAACTCACTCACTATCATGAGAACAGCAAGGGGGAAATTCACCCCCATGACCCAATCACCTCCCACCAGGCCCCTCCTCCAATTAGACATGAGATTTGGGCAGGGACACAAATTCAGACCATATCAGTAACTAAGCAAACATTTTATAGGGGTTTTTAAATATGAGTAAGACATAGTTCTTTTGAATCTAGTATAGATAATTAATATACAAGAAATGGGCTGGGTGCAGTGGCTCATGCCTGTAATCCCAGCAATTTGGAAGGCTGAGTCAGGCACATCACAAGGTCAAGAGATCAAGACCATCCTGGCCAACATGGTGAAACTCCATCACTATTAAAAATACAAAAAACAAGCTGGGTGTGGTGGCATGTGCCTGTAGTCGCAGCTACTCAGGAAGCTGAGGCAGGAGAATTGCTTGAACCGGGAGGCGGAGGTTGCAATGAGCTGAGATCATACCACTGCACTCCAGCCTGGTGACAGAGTCTTAAAAAAAAGAAAAAAAAAAGAAATGATGAAACATGATTAAGTGCTATAAAAGCCGAATTGATCAGAACTGGATCAAATGCTATGACGCTCAGAGGAGAGCATGCCTAACTCTGCTTTAGGAAGATGACATGTAAAGACGTCTTAAAGGATGATAGGACTCTGTGAGCAGAGAAGCTGTTGGAAGGTATTTCATGAACAATATTAACAAGTCAAGAACATAGGAAAGAATGAAGCCTGTTAAGGAAGTAATGGGTACTTCTGTACGGCTGAGGCATATGATTGTGAAGGCAGGCAGAGGAAGATAAGATGAAAATGGTAGGTAGGGGCCAATTATGAGGGGCCTTATATGGTGTGATAGGACTTTATAATTCATCCTGTAGGCACTGAGGAGCCATTGAAAGTTTTTGAGCAGGGAATTATCTGTACAGATAGGATTAGTTTAGAAAGATACTCTTTTCAGTTACAGTAGTTTGGTAAAATGCAGTAAAAGCCTGAATGAAGACAGTGATCATCAGGAGGGGAAGTGAGGGTATCTACTCATGAGACATTACTCATGAGACATTTCAGATGTAGAACTGGTATGGCTTAAGCTCAGAGTGGCGGGTAGGAAGAGGAAGGAAGGCTAATTTAGTATGACTCAGATTTTTTGGTTGGAGAACAGATGGATGCTCATGCTATCAACTACCTTTGTACAGAATGAAGGGGAAAGGTGGATTTTGGTGGTGGATAAAATAGTGAATTTGCTTTTGCACATGCTGAATTTGAGATACATGTGGGGATATTTAGGTAGAGGTGATTCCAGAGCTTAGGAGAGGGGTGGAGACTAGAGATCAAGATTTGGATGTTTACCTTGGAGAGGATACACATTCAGCAGAAGAGATAAACAAGGACAAAATCCTATAAAACAAGTAAATCTCAGTATCTTATAAGAAGTAGAAGAGGAGGAAAGCCAGCAAAAGGGGCCAAGGAGGACGAAATTGGAGAACCAAGAGTGGTATCATGTATACAAGGAAAAGAAAGGGCATGGCTGGCAGAAGTTATAGGGAGGTCATGAGAAATAATATTTGCAAAGTATCTATTGACTTGGCAATCATGAGATGACAGTGTCCTGACTCAGACGAGTGGTCTGAAAGACAGATTGCAGAGAGGCAGCAGACAAATGGGAGGGGAAAATCCGGAGGCAGGTAAGACAGCCTTCTTTTTAAGAAATGTATATTTTTTAAAAAATGGAGGGAGGTGGTTGGAATTACTGTTAAATTGTGCAGGAGACGGCAGGCTGATGCAGTGAAGCTCATGTCTTGTTAATTTTCATCGTTCAGCAGTGGTGGACATTTGAAAGCATATAACTCATGCTTACTGAGTGAATCTTTAGAATATTCTTATCTATGTCCTATTTATCAGTGAAGCTTGTTGTTGTCTCTCTTTGGCTTTGTCATCTTTATTCTCTATGCTATTTATCCTTTTTCTGACTTGTGAACCTTATATTGCTCCTACATCTGTTCTAGTTGAATAGATCCTGTGCTTCCTTCAAGCTAGATATAATCATATTCCTCTGAAATGTCATATATGGGCTCATTAGAGAGGAAAAGCTTTCTGTGAGTCATTCAGTCTGATGCCCTTGTATAAGACCCTATTTCATTTAAATGATAACTTCTAGTGAAGATGGTTCTCTTTTCAAAATATTTAACACTTGTAGGTATTTGTAATCATGTAAAAATGGCATAACTGGAGGAGATAGGCACATATATCAGTTAATTCTTGTACTGCTATAAAGAAATACCTGAGACTGGGTAATTTATAAAGAAAAGAGGTTTAATTGGCCCATGGTTCTACAGGCTGTACAGAAGTATGGCTGGGGAGGCCTCAGGAAACTTACAATCATGGTGGAAGGCAAAGGGGAAGCAGTCATGTCTTATAAGGCTGGAGCAGGAGTAAAAGGGAGAATGGAGGGAGGTGCTACACACTTTCAAACAACCAGATTTCATGATAGCTCACTCACTATCATGAGGACAGCACCCAGGGGAATGGTGTTAAACCATACATTAAGGATCCACCCCCATGATCCAATCACCTCCCAACAGGCCCCACCTCCAACATTGGGGAATACAATTCAACATGAGATTTGGGTGGGGACACAGATCCAAACCATATCAGCAAATATTGCTCCAGTATGTCCTAAAATATAAGGGGGATGAAAACTTTAGGAAACCCCCTGAGGAAGAGAATTAGTTATTATATGTGTCCTAGAGAAAATCAAAAGCTTGTCTACAGTGTTATTTAGAAAGCTAACTGTTCTTATTTTGAGCATTGAACTTACACTTTTAGAGAACACTCTGAGAGAAATACTTTCGGAAAATTGTACTGATTAATATGTCAGTAACTACTTAATTGTCTGCAGTAATATTATTACATTGGGTACAACTAAAGGCTTCATCCAGAAGGTTCTATTTTAGGGTATTGAGAATCAGATAATTATTTGTGAGTGTGTATATATCCTTATCGTAATCACCACTTTCTCCCACCCCAACTGTCTTTTCTCCTCTAGGTGATATCCCAATTGTTCCACTTAATTTTGTCATGATATCCCTGGAGGGTCCATTTAACAGAGATGTAGTGGAAGGATGTGTGAAGGAGACGTTGCTTTTTTTATCGCGATTCATTTCCATGAAACAAAATGTGGAGTTTACATTCAAAGGAATTGGGGTCCTCATGATCAGAGACAACAAAGTGAAGATGAGGTTTTATAAAGACTTCCTTTGTACCATGGATGGAAGTGGGGCTTTGGCAAAGGCCCTAGCAAACGTAAATTAATATTTTCCTTCTCCTAAGTCTTCTCCTAATTGTAGTTCTGATTTATCTATAGGTGTGTTGTAATTAAGAAAATGAAGATTGACATATTTGGGTGACAATTACCTGAAGTACATGGAAGTGCTTGTTTATACTTGATTAACTCTTTGACAAAAAGATTAGGAAGGCAAACGAACATTAAGAGTCAAAGTCAACTGAGGGATATAAATAGTAATGGAAACTCTTCAAATTCTCTTCAAATTCTGAACATTTTATAGTATCTTATAGGTTTTTTGTTTGTTCGTTTTTTGAGACAGAGTCTCACTCCATCACCCAGGTTGGAGTGCAGTGGCATGATGTTGGCTCACTGCAACCTCCATCTCCTGGGTTTGAGTGATTCTCCTCCCTCAGCCTCTCAGTACCTGGAATTACAGGTGCGTGCCACCATGCCCAGCTAATTTTTGGAAAGCTGTGTGCTTATTTCAGTGATGCTGCTTTTATTAGAAATATTTTCTATACTTCTTTGTGAGAATTCCCTTCAAAGGCTTTTGTAAGGGGTAGTACTCATGCAAAAATAATCATTTTATATATTATTCTACAGTAAAAATGTGACAATGTGACTATTATGTTTATAGTTATATGAGAATTAAAATAGCCATTTGTTCAGTATTTACTATGGGCTAGCTACTTACACAGAGGACCTCATGGAAGTGCTATTAGATCCTTTTATTATCCCCAGAAACCTAGTGTCTAAGGCCACATACCTGTTAGCAGTGTGGGGATTTGAACATGAGCCCACCTGACTCGAAAGCTTTTCTCTTAATTGCCTAATTTTAGTTATTTGGGTCAAGAGTGGAATTAGACAGCTTGCTCACTTTCTATGTATTTTTACAAAGTCTGCTATCTTCTTAAAGATATCTAAAAGAATCTGTCAACCCTGAAGGCAATTCCCAAAAAGGAAATGTTTGAGAAAAGGCAACCCCAAAATAATTGCTGTGCAGTTACCCAGGGTGATTACTTTGATGAATGAGATCATTCCTCATTGGATTTTTAAGCTCTGGACTTTTAAGCGCTAAACATAAACAACAAGAAAAGTATTGTTGTAGCCTTGCCTATGAGACAGCCTGCAGTTTTTAATTTGTATGAGTCCTGGCCGGCAGCCTATATGTAACCTTGCTCTGTCGCTGTCCTCTAGAGGCCTGGCACTGTGGACTCGGTGTTGTCCAGCAGAGAGGCCTTGAGGAAGTGGCCCAGCAGTGTGCTTGCGTTTCCAAGGTAAGTGCTTTGCTTCATGGGTTCCTCCAGGCACTAGCACTCCTTGCTGATCTGCTGATCTCATTGGGCGGTATTTCTCAATGTTTTGTAGCTCATGCTCCTTTTAATGTATTCTCTGTCTCTCCCTCTCTAAATGCACCAACAAAGAAGAGTTTATTGCGTACACTTTCTGTAGTTAAGTTAAATAACAATGGATATTTATTCTTTTTTATCCTCCCTCACTGAGACGGAGTATTGCTGTGTCACCCAGGCTGGAGTGCAGTGGCATGATCTCTGCTCACTGAAGCCTCTGTCTCCTGGGTTCAAGCAATTCTCTCCTGCCTCAGCCTTTCGAGTAGCTGAGATTACAGGTGCACGACACCATGCCTGGCTAATTTTTGTACTTTTAGTAGAGATGGGGTTTCACCATATTGGCCAGGCTGGTCTCAAACTCCTGATCTCAATGGATCCATCCGCCTCAACCTCCCAAAGTGCTGGGATTACAGGCATGAGCCACCTTGCCCAGCCCATTTATAAAACTACCCTTGGCTCCTGGAAATTCTGATACTACCTTCCATCAACCTTAGTCCCTGCAGTATTAGTAAAACTCTTCTCACCTGCTGAGCTTTCCTCTACTTTGTAGCACTTCTTCTGCCCTAGCTGCTGCTTCTTCCTTCAGTTCAGCCCATTTCCTGTCAGAGCTCGGATTTTTACCACTAAACGAGTTAAACAGGTAAGTCAGAATAAGGAAACAGCTTTACTCCATGAGCACAGTGGTTGTTACTGGTGGTTGCATATTACTTCATTTAATCTTCACGACATTCATGTGACATAAGTATTATAGTTCTCCATTTTATCACGATACAAAATTAATTTTAATTTTTTTCTTTTACATAAATGAAGCAACATGGTGCACTATTGAGAACACTGGAGTAGGAGTCAGGAGACTTCAGTTTTATTTCCAGTTTGGCCATCACTTATTCATTGTGTGCCCTTAATTATGTTAATAATCTTAATTGCTGTGCCATTAACCACTGTGCATTTCAGGTGGAGGAAGTTTGGGGAATAACAACTAGCTTCCTAAAGCATTCTTCCTTTAGGAAGTATGAGTACAGTATAAAAGTATGAGAATTTCTCAGATGTTTTGAGTGTGACATTCTCTTGTGCTTGTTGCTTTGGAACAACCCCCTCCTGGAAGAGCTGTTTGACAAATACCTCAGAAGATTCAGTGTGAAGTCAAGAGTAAGCCCTAGAGGTTGTTTTCCAGCCGTCTCATCTTGCACATGAAATGGCCATGCAACTAATAAGCAGCCAAGCTTATAGAAATAAGACTGTGGCTCCTGGTCCAGTGTTCTTTCCATTGCACCATATTGCCTTACACTAAAAATAAATCAGCAGTTTGAAAATAATTTTGATTGTTTTGGAAGGCAAATGTGGCTGTTCCCTTTGACATATTTTGGCTTAGGCACTCCAGGAGGAAAATAATTGTAGTGGGTCAAAGAACAGAGATGGAGGCTCCATCAAGTCAAGGGCCTAGAAATGGACAAGGGAATATAAATACTCAAAACAACTGTTCATGTTTTATTTATGTGACATTTGGCCCCTGAATTGACTGAAGGTACTCCCAACCCTACTCCCTACTCCAACCTAGTACTCCATACCTGAGACTAAAGAAATCCTACAACTACACACACCAACTGAACAACCCCCTTCCTCCCTGCTGCAAATTGTAGCTGTGCAAGTCCTTCACTTTTGCCTGGGGAAAAGTGGCAAAGGAGGGAGGAGACAAATGGTTATTTTGGGGCATACTCTACCAGGCTATGAATCTTTTGCCTTCAAGCTATCCAACAACCTTTTCTCACTGTATCACCCCAGATCATCTAGTTATAGAACTAGGATATAAAAATTCAAATGGAAACAAAACCCAATAACCTAAATAAAGGACTTTAAGGCAATTTCTTTATATGCAAGCTGCTTTTGAGACTATGGTATAGAGGGGAAGGTCTTGGTCAGCTCCCAGAAAACCTTGGAAAAAATTAATCTATGATATGTACTCAGCACATCAGAGCACTCACTCCTTGAAGAAAGTGGGCTTATTTCAGACTCAGCCAGCTGGCTGGGTTGCTTCCAAGACTTGAAAGTTCACACAGTCACCTGTTCAGGTTCAGTGCAGCAGAAAAACATATTGGCTCATTCCTAGGATTGAGCTCAAGCAGACGGAAAACAAACTGCCTATGGAGACCCTTGTAGAAGAATGTGGAGAGAACAGAGAAAGGAAGTGCAAGTTAAAAGACCAGTCAGACAAAGAAGAAGGCATCAGAGGTAGGCCAATGATTTCTGAATACAATCTGTCACTCTTTACTCCTATGAGCCCAGTCATATTGCTTAGCCAAGGGTAAATAAAGTTAAATTTACAAATAATCACTATATTATTATTATTATTATTTTTTTTTTTTTTTTTTGAGATGGAGTCTCACTGTTGCCCAGGCTGGAGTGCAGTGGCATAATCTCAGCTCACTGCAACTTCCACCTCCCAGGTTCAAGCGACTCTCCTGCCTCAGCCTCCCGAGTAGCTGGGATTAATGTCATGTGCCACCATGCCTGGCTAATTTTTTAGTTTTTATATAGATGGGGTTTCACCATATTGGCCAGGCTGGTCTCGAACTCCTGACCTGAAGTGATCTGCCCATCTAGGCCATCCAAAGTGCTGGGATTACAGGCGTGAACCACTGCACCCAGCCACAAATAATCACTATATTATTTCTAACAAATACATTCTAGTCCTAGAATCCTGCATCTGACCTTAACTATGAGCTTACTTACTTTATGGACCTCAGGTCCTATGACTCTCAGGCTCTTAGATCATCATCTCTTTGCTGGCTCCCCATTGCTCAAAGGGGCCAAAACTCAGATGACTATAGGGTCCAGGCAGGTAACGCAAATGCAGGAAGTGATCTGGATATAAGTGGGTTGGAGACATGTTAGCTTACTTAACATTTCTTATGAAAAACGAAGAGAGGCAGTTTTATCACTCTGATGTTTGTAGAAAAAAGCTGGATTCTCATACCTATGTCTGCACTAATCTGTTGTGATAGTTGTTTTGGTGGAAGCAAATGAAGAACATCCTAGGACTCCAAAGATTTTTTGTTTTTTTTAACCAAAGACTTTTTATTTTCTTTTTGAGATGGAGTCTCGCTCTGTCACCCAGGCTGGAGTTCAGTGGCACAATCTGGGCTCACTGCAACCTCCGCCTCCTGGGTTCAAGCGATTCTCCTGCATCATCCTCCCCCTAAGTAGCTGGGACTAAAGATGTGCGCCACCACGCCCAGCTAATTTTTGTATTTTTAGTATAGATGGGGTTTCACCATATTGGCCACGCTGGTCTCAAACTCTTGACCTCAGGTGATCTGCCTGCCTTGGCCTCCCAGAGTGCTACAATTACAGGTGGGAGCCACCAAACACAGCCACAGACATTTTCAAAGGGTCCTAGGGACCCCAAAAAGTATGGCTTGCCAGGCCACACTTTGAGGACTGTTCCTCTAGCAGATTGTTGCTTTGTGGAAATGTGGCCCAAGTGGTATCAAATCTTCTAATTTTTCTAATTTTAGTATATGTGCTACCAAAGTGAGCACAATCTTCTGATTTTTCAAAAGAAGCAGAGATCCTGACTTTAATGTGAAATCTATTGGTTGTTAAATGTTGACTTTTGTTGAAACAAAAAGTGCTAATTAGGCCTAACAAAACATACCAATGGGTGAACACTGGCTTGTGGATGTCTGTTTTCTATGTGTGGCCTACAGGATTGCGTATCAACTTCTAGCCTAATATTCACATGCTTTCTCATTTCTATAGACTCATCCCCCACTGTGCCCTACACAGACCCCTTCTTTGGGCAAAATTATCTATTCATGTTCTTTTTTTTTCTTTGAGGTGGGGTCTTGCTCTGTCACCCAGGGAGGAGTACAGTGACAGTCTTGGCTCACTGCAGCCTCAACCTCCTGGGCTCAGGTGATCCTCCCACTTCAGCCTCCTGAGTAGCTAGGACCACAGGTGTGCACCACCATGCCTGGCTAATTTTTGTACTTTTTGTAGAGACAGGGTTTTGCCATGTTGCCTAGGCTGGTTTTGAACTCCTGAGCTCAAATGATCTACCCACCTTGGCCTCCCAAAGTGCTGGGATTACAGGCGTGAGCCACTATGCTTGGCCTATTCATGCTCTTCTAACATGCCTGCCCTTCCCCAGTTTCATCTTTTGTTCATTTTTCTTTCCTGCAGCCTGAACTGTCCTTCCTTTTATTTCAATCTATCTCCATCCTACTCACCTTTTAGTACCCTTTTCACATCTCGCTTCCTCCAGGAAAACTTACCACTGAATTCTGGAGTGGCTTCTCTCCTCTGAACATGTCAGATCCTTAAAGACTACAACATTTGGCTGGGCACAGTGGCTCACGCCTGTAATCCTAGCACTTTGGCAGGCTGAGGTGGGTGGATCACCTGAGATCAGGAGTTTGAAGCCAGCCTGGCCAACATGGCAAAACCCCATCTCTACTACTACTACAAAAAAAAAAAAAAAAAAAGTTAAAAAAAAAAGTTAGTTGGGAGTAGTGGCATGCACCTGTTATCCCAGCTACTCAGGAGGCTGAGATGGGAGAATTGCTTGAACCTGGGAGGCAGAAGTTGCAATGAGCTGAGATTGGGTTACTGCACTCCAGCCTGGTGACAGAGTAAGACTCCATCTCAAAAAAAAAAAAAGATTGTAACATTTATTTTTGACTTACACATTTTGCATCGTTGACCTAAGTTGTTATTTAGTAAATGTGTATTACAAAGCACTTAGCACTGTTAGCACATAAGATGACCTCCAAATGGAAGCTCTCACTTTTTTGTTTATATCTTATTTTTCTCTTCAACTATATCTACTGAAAGATCTTTACAGGCAAAATGTCTAAATCTACAGATATCAAAGTTGTAAAACTGCCACTGTTCATTTTTCATAAGAAATATTAACTAAACTAACATGTCTCCTGGTCGTGTTATATCCAGCCCACTTCTTGCATTTATGTTAGTTGCCCCTTTTTGTCCTCTAAATACTTAGCACAGTGCTTTCTTTGCAAATATACAGCAAAAACATTTTTTTACATCACAATAGAACAAGGGGTGATTATTTAAAGATAAGAGAGTGTATCTTATATGAAAATTTCCCTTGGTAAAAACTACACGGTTAGTGGTTTGAGAGTTGAAAGGAAACTCGTTTTCATTCATTCTTTATTCTACAGATATCTCATCACCCAAGAGACTTCGAGATAGACAAGCTTTGTTCCCTGCCAAAGTGACAAATGTCAGCTTGCTGGAAAAGACTGACCGAAGTGAGAGTGGTGAGAAGATTATGACCTCTGAAAGGTAATGCACTGACTTTTTTTTTTTTTTTTCTGTTGTACTTTACTAAATATATTTTTGAGTCATTGCTTGATGCAGGGAACTGTAATTGTTCATTAATTTATTTATCCAGTGTTCTTGACAGCTTTCTACATGCAACATGATGGGAATAATAAAGGTGACCGAGGTTCACCATCTAGTGGGGAAGTCAGACATATGCAGAGGGATAAATTATGATTCAGTAGAATATATGTTATGACGCAGGCAGAAACAAAATAGCACAGAGTATTTTGTAGATTCGGGCTTCCCAAATCTACAAAACTTTCCTGTTTTCTGAGTGCTTGGATATTATGATGTGACACAGTGTTATATTTACATCAAATTGGAAAGTAGTTTTGCCAAACATAGCCGGCACTCCATTAGTTCTCAATAAACATTACTTGAATGAATGAGTGTATTACAATTTATCATGGTCGTTTTCTTCTTGTGATGGTATGTCAAAAGATTTCTATAATATTTTATCCTTGTCTCTTTGAGTAGGATACTTTTTAAGACCTCAAATCAGTCAACCATATTTAACCATGCTCATTCATTAAGTGTTTACTGAGCACCTATGTACTTTGCATTGTGCCACCAACCTTTAATTTATTGTGTCAAAATTTATCAGCTATCATATGTGCAATTTATGTACTTTGTGGATTACTAAAGTCATGTTTAAAACTCTGGAAATGCTTGTTTTGGATAATATCACTGTTATGAAAGATAATTGAGAATTAGATGTATAGTCCTTTAATTCAATACAACAAACATTGAGTATTACCATGTGCCAGGTACTATTCTAGGCACTGAAGATGCAGAGTTACAGACATATTAACCTGCTTTTATAAAACTTACAGTCTTGTAGGAAGACTGAAATTAAAAAAACAGTGCATGCGATGAAGATAACAAAAGTATAGAGGCTGCAAAAGGAGAGAGTAATTGTTGGAAGTTGTTGGTAAAGGTTTCCTATAGAAGTTGACCCAAAAATGTTTGTTTCCTGTAGAAGTTAACCAAAAAATAGGCCAGGTGCAGTGGCTCATGCCTGTAATCCCAGCACTATGGGAGGCCGAGGTGGGCGGATCACGAGGTCAGGAGATCGAGACCATCCTGGCTAATACGGTGAAACCCCATCTCTACTAAAAATACAAAAAATTAGTTGGGTGTGGTGGCAGGCACCTGTATTCCCAGCTACTTGGGAGGCTGAGGCAGGAGAATGGCGTGAACCTGGGAGGCAGAGCTTGCAGTGAGTCGAGACTGCGCCACTGCACTCCAGCCTGGGCGACAGAGCAAGACTCCGTCTCAAAAAAAAAAAAAAAGTTAACCAAAAAATATTTTTTGTGCGATTACTAAAACAATACATGTTTAACATAGAAATTTTGAGGAAACCAAAAAAGCAAGAGTTACAAAAAATCACCCATAATCCCTCTACATAGAGGAAACTTTGTATTAACCTTATGGTACATGTCGTTTATTTCAATGCATATACAATATATACAGTACTTACACTTGGAATATACATACTTTTTAAATAAAATTAGATCATATTATATGAATTTTTGTTACATTTAATAAGTGGTGATTTCCCCATGATATTAAATATTCCAAAACCTTAACAAATAATTGCACATCATCTTAATGAAAGATTAAACCTTTTGTTTAACCAATCTGCTATTGGATATTTAGATGGCTTCCAGTTTTTAAGTACTATAAATAATGTTGTGAAAATATAATTAAACATAATTCCTTGCATACATCTGGATATTCCATAGGATAAAAACTTTAAATTTCAGAGATAAGAGGTGAGTCCATTTTCATGCTTTTGATACACATTGCCAATTATCTTCTTCATGATTGTAGCAAATTATCCTCTCAGCAACAGTAGTATGACAGAGTGCTATCTTTTCTACAGTTTTGCTAATACTTTAGCAAAGTGAAACGATGGTATTCATTATTGTTTTTAACCTGTGTTTGTTTGACTTCTAGTGGGTTTTTTCTTGTTTGTTTTTGAGACAGCATCTCACTCTGTCACCAACGCTAAAGAACAGTGGCATGATCATGGCTCACTGCAGCTCAACCTGCTGGGCTCAAGTGATTTTACTGCCTCAGACCCCCAGGTAGCTGGGACTACAGGTGTACACCACCACACCAGCTAATTTTTTTGATTTTTTTTTTTTTAAGAGATGGGGTCTTAGTATGTTGTGTAGGCTGGTCTAGAACTCCTGGCCTCAAGCAATTCTCCCACTTAGGTCTCTCAAAGTGCTGGGATTACAGGCGTGAGCCACCACACCTGGCCTGCATTTATTTTTACCTTGTTTCTTAGCCATTTGTAGTTCTTTTACAAATTTCCTGCTTGAATCCTGTGTCCTTTTTCAGCTGGGAGCTTTAATTTTTCTTAAAAACAAGTGGTATTTCTTATAAAGAGAACTTCATATATCATAGGTATGAATAGTTTTCTGATGTGTATGTTTTAAACATTTTTCTAATTCTTTTTTTCTTTTTAATTTTGTTTCTGCACCATTTAGTGCACAGAAGTTTAAAATATATCTTTTCTGATTTACCAACCTGTCCAAGTCCCCAAACACCATGTTTGGGAATGTCAGTCCAGAATTACATTTTCATTTTGAAGAAAAATATTCTTTTAGAAGAGTAAAGAATGATCTAGAGGGATAAGATTAGCAGCAGGGGAAGGGGTGTAATAAAATGGAAAAGTGTAGCACAATTTAGCAGATCAAGGCAGTAGTCTAGGCAATCTGTTTCCAACAAATGACCCTAAGGCCTCAGAGGGCCTTAAGAGCACATCAAAAACTGAGAGTGAGGTCATATGGGTGGGACTCTGGGCTCTATGTCCTCACTTCCACTGGAGGATGTGTGCTGCTTTTCTGTTTTATATATTGGGGTTTGAGTAAGATTTGTTTAAACTAAGAAGGATAGTACTTTCATTGTTTAATAGTTGAGTATAACTCATCTAGGGAAAGGTAATAAGGGTATGAAACAAAGATCAGACGGAAAGCTTTAGCTTTGACTGTTGGGGATTAGTTAAGGGAGGTTAAGGAGGAGATGTCAAAGATGACCCCAGATTTTGGCCTAGGTAACTGGGAGAAGATGGTATTATTCAAAATAGTGACTACTATAGGAAGTGCAAATTTGGCTGGTGCTGAAGGGCATGTAGTGGTTAGTGATTCTGTAAAATTTTCACTCCAAGTTAGAGGATTAAAAAAAATACAAGTGAATTGTCTTGGATCATAAGAATCCAGATTGAGACATATTTCTTATTGCTTCCTCATGTCAGTTGCATCTAACAGGTTATTTAAATCAAACTTTTAGGGAATCAGCATTTGCTCAACCCCAGATTTTGAGGCCTAAGAGAAGTTATTAAAAAATAAAGGGTTCTGCATCTAGCAATATGGTGTTCTAAATAATCTGAAAAGGTCCTCTACTGAGAGCCAAATCTAGTCCACCACATGTTTTTATAAATAGTTTCACCGAAACACTGCTATGCCCCTCCATTTGCATATTATCTGCACCTGCTACTTGCGTCAGGGACTGTGTGGTCCTCAAAGCCTAAAATATTCACTCTCTGGCCCTTTTCATAAAAAGTTTGCCAACCCCTGCTCTAAAGGATCTTATTTTCATCTCAGGCTCCTGACTTCTGACAGATAGAGTTGGGCTAAAAATGAGGTCAGAATCCAAAATTACAAAGACCACGTGGAAATAAGCTGCCACATAATGAGAGCCATCAGAAACAAAAGATGGAAGAACTGAGCTCTCGAGGATTTTGGATCCTGACCATTATAAAATACAGAATATAGAATAAGATGTTTAAAATCTTTACATGAATTAAAAGAATGGAAAGTATGAACAAGTTATAAGAAATTAGAAAACATGACCAGTGAGGTCAGAGTCGAGCATTTGCATTTTGGAATTGCAGTAAGGGAGTATAGACTTATATAATACTTAATTCATTGGTTATTCAGAAGACTCAAGTTTTATTACTTTTTCCAAATGAATAGAGGTTTTTAGTAGGGGCACTTTCTCATTTTATGCTGTGGTTCATTTAGTGTCAGTTATTTGGTACTTTGTAATTTGCTGAACCTTCTTTTCTAGCTTGAGTACCTTTACGGTAATTGTTTTATGTATACTTGAAGACACTGTATACTGCTATTCCTTAGACGTAAATTTCTAGATATTTAGATATTAGCTAACCCTTGTTAAAATAAGTTATTAAAAGCTTTAAAATCCTTACTTTTTTTTTGAGAGAGATATTAAAAATCTTTAACCATGATGGTATATTTTTCAGTAATTATGTCAATTTTTGCTTCTTAAGCAATATTAAATTCTACACGTCTGGGATTTTTTGGTAGATAGTTCCTTTTATCATTATGAAATATTTTCCTTTGTCTCTACTAAAATCTTTTGCCTTCATTTCTGTAGTACATAATTAACAATGCAACATTTGATTAGTATTTTACCTGGAATAGCCTTTTAATGCCATTTTAAGAATTTTTATGTGTGTTTTATTATTTCATGTGTGTCTCTACTAAATAGCTTATATTTGGATGTTTTAAAACTCAATCTAGACTTTAATTTCAGTTGTGATTATTGGTATATTTGAACCTATCTTTACTGTCTTATTTTGTATTTTCTACTTACTGTGCATTTAACTTCATTATTACCCTTTTTCTGTTGGACTGATCACATTTCTTTAGTATGCTTTGAATTTCCTTTGACCACATTTCTTCAGTATGCTTTCAATTTCCTTCAAACTGCATCCCCTTCCAAACCTGTATTTTTGTTGTCTAGAACTTTTGTTCCAAATTGGTTTTAAGTGTTAAAAAATTTGTATTATTTTATGGTCAATGATTAATTTGGATTTGCCAACATGTTTACCAATTTCTTTGGTCACTATCATTTCCTCTTTTTTCTTTTTCTTTTCTTTTCTTCCTTTTTATTCTTTTTCCCAGGCTGGAGCACAGTGGCACGATCTTGGCTCACTGCAACCTCTGCCTCCCGCACTCAACCAATTCTCCTGCCTCAGCCTCCCGAGTAGTTGGATTACAGGCACACACCACCATGTCTCGTTATTTTTGTATTTTTAGTAGAGACAGGGTTTCACCATGTTGGCCAGGCTGGTCTCGAGCTCCTGACCTCAAGTGATCCTCCTGCCTTGGCCTCCCAAAGTGCTGGGATTACAGGCGTGGGCCACCACACCTGGCCTGTTTCTTATATCCCTGTCCTTCCTCCTGGGTTCGTTTTTCTTCTTGCTAAAGTATATCCTGTAATGGTTCCCTGTCTTTTCAGTACACTTGTTCCTTGTATTGCTTAAAATGATTCTTATTGTGTTATCGCTCTTGAAAGCTGATTCTTGGTTCATAGTTATTTTCTTTTAGCATTTTAATGATATTGCTCCATTTTCTCCTGACAGTTGTCCTGATGTAACGTCTGAGTCAATCTGGTTGTCATTCTTTCTTGTAGCTTTTAAGAATTTTTCTTATTTCTTGATGTTCTGCATGACTGTTCTTAGGAGTCATGACTTTCTGGAAAATTCTTATCTGTTATTTTCTAGAATATTGTTCTTTGCCATTTCCTTTATCCTAAAAATTCAGCACTCCTATTCAATGCATGTTTGAGCGTCTGAATCTATTCTCTATTTCTCTACTTTTAAATGGTTTCATTCTTGGCCTGGCAAGGTGGCTCATGCCTGTAATACCAGCACTTTGGGAGGCCAAGGTGGGCAGACTATGAGGTCAGCAGTCCGAGACCAGTCTGACCAACATGGTGAAGCCCCGTGTCTACTAAAAATACAAAAATTAGCTGAGTGTGGTGGTATGCACCTGTAATCCCAGCTACTCCAGAGGCTGAGGCAGGAGAATCGCTTGAACTTGGGAGGCAGAGTTTGCAGTGAGCTGAGATCGCGCCATTGTACTTCAGCCTGGGTGACAGAGCGAGACTCTGTCTCAAAAATTAAAATAAAATAAATAAAGTTAAAAAATAAATATTTTCATTCTTCGAGCTGCTTTTTAGGTGATAATATCAGTCCTATTTTCTAATGAATACTAGTATTAATATTAATACTCACCCCTAATTCATGTCCCTCCACCACAATGACCACAGGCACCTTCCAACTGAAGGACTGCATTGGTTTGTTTGCTTGGAATGTCTTTTCCATCAGATATCTACACCGTTGTTCCCTTACTTCCTTCAGGTATTTACTCATATGTCACTTCCTTGGTAAGAACTTCCCTGGCCATTCTCTTTACAGTTTAACACTTCATCCCTCCAGCATTGCAAGGCATTTATCATCATAGAACATACTATAGAGTTCACTTATTTATCTTGTCACTGGGCTCTCTATCTCCATCAGAATGTTAATTCCATGAGGGCAGGGACTTTTCTATGTGTGTATTTTGTTCTTCATTGCTTCTCCTGTGCTTAGAACAGTGTACATGGTAAGCACTCAATACATTTCTGTGGAATGAATAAATTTCATCACCATTTCACACAATTGGTAACTGAGATTTTGTAAGATTACACAGCTGGTCTGATGTCAGTCATCTTGTAAGCAAGAAAGCTGGAATTCAAACCCACCTTTATCTGACACAAATTCAGATTCTGTGGTACATATTCTTAACCTCTACACATACAGCTGTTCTGAACTAAACCAATGAGATATTTTTCTTCATCTTATACTTGGCCTCTATAATTATTATTGCTCTTGAGGTCAGACTGTATTAAACATTAATTAATGTTGCATTGTTTTTACAGCTTATCATCTCCAAGTTGTCTGAAACATGACAGTGACATGAAGCCCCAAACATCTCCAGCTTGTCAGGATCATGATAAGGCAGGACAGGTACAGTGTTTCCAAACAAATAAGCCCCATCAAAATCTTATACTGATTTTTGTTTCTGAAAGAGAGTTCTGGGAATCTCTTGCTTAATTATATGAGTATGGCTGAAGTACTTAAGTACTCAGGCTCAAAACTGAACTGTGATAAATCTATCTACTAGTCAAGATGCACTGGTAAACAAAAAAAAAATTGAGAAATCCCTTTCTAAGTTTCAGCTGCTTCTGATGAAGTGCGAGTTCAGAAGATCCTTTAGAGTATTTCTGGGGTCCACTCTGCAAATCTCATTTTGCTGTCACTAATATATCCATTAATAACAGGTTTCTTGATATACCTAGCCTTTGGAGAGCTTGTGAAGGGAATGTGAAAGCAAAAAGGTAAAATGTAAAAATTTATTTGTCCTGAAATTTGGGATTGTAGGAAATGTGCTATGTATGTTTGCAACGAGCACAACGAAATTCCCCGTTGTACTACGGTGAGGAAAGGAGGAGAGAGATAGAAGATGAGAGACTCATACAGCAGTATCAGATGTTGAAAGATCAGGAGGCTCTCTTCAGACACCAGGTAGTCCGACACCTCGATCAGTCTTTAATATGGGGCAGTAGAACATGATTATATAATGTAATTTATTATTATTTTTTATTGGCACAGGGTCTCACTCTGTCACCCAGGTTGAAATGCAGTGGCACAACCTCCGCTCACTGCAGCCTCGACCTACTTGGGCTCAGGTGATCCTTCTACCTCAGCCTCCAGATTAGCTGGGACTACAGGCACATGTCACTACGCCTGGCTAATTTATGTATTTTTTGTAGAGATGGAGTTTCACCATGTTGCCCAGGGTGGTCTCCAACTCCTGGGTTCAAGCATTCCTCCTGCCTCTGCCTCCCAAAGTGCTGGGATTACAGGCATGACCCACTGAGCCCAGCCTATAATGTAATTTAAAAATGTTCCATCACATGTCTGTACTGTGACATATCTAATCATGTATTTACTGTTAGACTAAAACTTGTGTTGACGTTTTCACTAATAATAAACAACAATCAGATGAATATCCATGTAGTCGAATGTTTGCACATATCACTGATTTTCTTTAACCTAAGGTCTGAATTTTAAAGGTGAAATTATTGGATTTATGTTTCTTTATTTCTGATAAAATACAACTCTGGTGAAGGCTTTTACCCTTCATATTCATGTCTTACTTCAAGCTAAGACAGAAAGGCACTTTTACACTTGCTGTATCCAGATTTATGTGGTGTCTAATAATTGACCCTACTGACTGCCCTTTCCTGCATTTGTGATGAGTTCTTCCATTCCTTAGATCCCTCTAGTGGTACCTAAAGGCCAAGAATAGGAAATAAAATACCTTTCCCAATCTACTTTTATAAATCTATAGAGATATCAGAAAGTACCATTGCCTCCAAAAGGCAGGTTTCTACCATGGCTGGATTATTTTAATGTAATAGAATTAAAATTTTTCAAGGCTCCACTTCAATATGTAATTAAAAATTTAATTTAAAACTGTTTTATATACAATAGCTGAAAAGTCTGGCTACTAGAGAACAGAATCAGAAAAATGCTGCCTATAATCTTGGAGTTGCTGAAGCTATAAGAAGCCACAAGAATGAGAAACCAGAATTTTATGTAAGTCTTTTTAAAATTTCTATTGCTAACACCTGGCCCATTGTGAGTCTTTGGATCCACTCCCTGTGTTGCAGGTTGTGCCTTTTTTTTTTTTTTGAGACGGAGTCTTGCTCCATCACCCAGGCTGGAATGCAATGGTGCGGTCTCGGCTCACTGCAACCTCTGCCTCCCAGGTTCAAGCCATTCTCCTGCCTCAGCCTCCCGAGTAGCTGGGATTATAGGTGCCTGCCACCATGCCCCGCTAACTTTTGTATTTTTAGTAGAGACAGGGTTTCACCATGTTGGCCAGCTGGTCTTGAACTCCTGGTCTCATGATCTGCCTGTCTTGGCTTCCCAAAGTGCTGGGATTACAAGTGTGAGCCACTGCGCCCGGCCAGTTGTGCCATTTTTTTAAAGCAGCGGAGTTGAAAAGTGGGTGGTGCAGTTTGAAGCTTTCTTCTAGGTCAGGCCTTGTCCGGTGTCTATAGCCACACCACTCACATTCACTGTACTGTTCCCACTAGTCACTGCAGTTCTTGTTAATTATGGTAATTCTCAACCAGGATGTGGGATGGGTGGAGAGGAGGGAGCAATATACTACTAAAGTCCAGCCCAAGGACCCAAGAGAACCAGCACTATCAGCATCGCCTGGGAGCTTGCTGGAAATGCTGAATCTAGGGCCCCACCCCAGACTCCCTGAATGGGCATCTATGGTGGAATAAGATCCCCAGGTGATTTGTATTTGCATTAATGTTTGGGAAACCCAGATTCAGATGGTGGTGAGCCAACTGCTTCACTGCTTGATTTAATGTTTTCAATCATCATGTGCCTACCTTTATTTCTGCCTGAATCTTTCTCTTTATATACCACCATCTAGGCAGTCGACACTCTGGACGTAAATCTAATAAAATATAATTCATTTATTCATCATCAAACATTTATTGAATTCCTCCATGCTGGCCACTGTGCTGGTGTCTAGGAATTCAAAGTTCCCTCTTCTGAAGAGGTCTCTAGTGGGAGAGACAGACACTTAAAGAGACAACTGTGTGGTATAACCAATGCGATGATAAATCTCTGAAAAAGGGCACTGTATGAGCAAAAGAAGAGATTCATTAACTTAGACCAGAGATTTGGGAAGACTTTCTGGTATACAAGAGTTAGGTAAAGAAACCAAGGGAGGAAGAGCATTCCAGGCAGGGAAGCAGGGAAGGAAGGAGAGAGCGAGCATGGGGCTTCTGAAATTTAGGCATGATCATTCTCTCTTCTTACATATAAACTCCAGATTATATTTATCACTGCTGTGTATCTCTTCTTTGATATATCTATACACATCTTAAATTTAAAAAGACCCAAACAGAACTTTTGATTCCCTCCTTAACTTGTTCCTTTCTGTCTTCTCATGTAAGTGGTATCACACACCAGCCATTTTGCACAAACGTGTTATCTAGTCACGATCTCAGTATTCCTTTCTCTGTTCCTGACATCCGATCATTTGCAAGTCCAGTTGCCTTTACCTCCAAAATGTATCCAATATCTGTCCAAATGTCGTCTTTAATGTTGCCACACTGAAAGTGCTGCTAAGCCACACTGTTATGCTCAACTTCTGCAATACTTCCCTTAGATTCACTGCTTGCATTCTTGCTCTCCTATAATTTATTCTCCACACAGCAGCCAAAGTGATACTATAATATTCTTAACCAAAACATACTATTCTCCCATTGAAAACCTCCACTGGCCTCCCATTGAGTTAAAATGAAATTTAGACTCCTCACCTTCAACTGTCAAATTCTACACACTTTGACTCCTGCCTTCCTCTTGGTCACTATGCCTTCTCCTTTCCCTTGGTCACTATGCCTCAGCCACAGAGACTTTTTTCCTGTTCACTGAACATGCGTAGCTTGTTTCCATCTAGTGTCTTTGCACTTAATGTTCCTTCTGTATGGAACACAGGTCTCCCTGATATTTACAGTGAGGGTGATTCATCTTCTCCATGGAAAAGCCTTCCCTTAATAACCAACCAGTTTAGCTCTTTTCCCACCCAGCCACTTGCTATCATAAGGGCTTCCTAGCACTTAGCACTATCTTAAATGACCCGATGTACCGTTTCTTGTTCCTTGTCTGTCTCCTGCACCAGCATGCAGGCTTGATGAGTGTGAGGATCTCTGTTGTTGCTCACTGTTGGATCACCAGGGTCTGGAATGGCCAGGCCCACAGTAGGTATTCAGTTTGCCCTCTTTCCAGCTCCTCTCTGTCCCTGCATGATTTTGCACGCACTCAGAATTCCTTCTTCCTTCCATCTGGATGTTGTAAATGCTAACTCACAACCTACTCCATGGAGTCCTTTTTCCTCTGTCTCAGCAATGGGATTCCAGTTGAAATTGACCCAATTGTCCCACAGACAGGTTTTTTTGTTTGTTTGTTTTTGTTTTTATTTTAAATAAACATAGAAATTGACCCTTTTGGTCTTAAAGCTTGAAACTTAACATTTGTTTTATCTGAGTTTCTTCCTCAGGAAAAAACCACTAGGCCTTCCAAAAAGTATCAAAGAATTGAAACTCATCAGATTATTGCATTCAGACAATGAGCCAGGCCCCTCCACTGACCATGATTGCTTCCTTATCCCTCCCGAATTCTGGTTTTCCCATACATAGTTTCAATTCTTCCCTGCTATATAAACCCATACTTTTAGTTGGTCAAGGAGATGGATTTGAGACTGATCTCTCATCTCCTTGGCTACAGCACCCAATTAAAGCCTTCTTCCTGGGCAATAATCATTGTCTCAGTGATTGGCTTCCTGTGCGGTGAGGACCTAGACCAAACCCCTGGTGTTTTGGTAACATAGTCAGCTCAGCTCAGCTTTATCCTTGAACACACTCATATGATTCTGTGGGTTACCTCAACACTAGCTGGTCAGTGTGTTGAGGGCTGGGCAAATATTATAAATTAAGAAATATTTTCTGTTTGACTTTAGTCTTCTGAATTATTAACTTTGTTTTTTGGTATTCTAGCATAAATGAATTGCTTCTCTTTCATTCTAGAAATCCTTCCTATTTGACAAACGGCCACTCAGTCCTGCGTTTAATGCTCTTAAGCAAGAGGAATATTCCCGGAGTCTCCTGAAACAAATGGATAACAGACAGGAAAACGAAATAAAGCAAAGACAATACAGAGAGTTGATGGATCGCCTGGAACAAGTGCAACTCACAGAGGAGTAAGTCCAGCTACACACGCTCTGAAAGATGGATTTGGAATTTTCATGTGGTTACTTTCCATGTAGGATTGAATCAGCATTGGTAGTTTCATTAGCACGCTGTAACCAACTGAGCAGACTAACCCAGTTAGCAGCCAGTACTGAAATGGGAAAAGTTCTCTTGTCCCCCTCGCAGGGCACGCAATGGGGGTGTGGCTTGCTTCTTCAGTGCCCTGCTGCTCAAACCTCTAGGAGAGCATACAGACGGGCAGGCTGTGGGGCTCTGGCCACACAGCGGCATCTAGGGGTGAATGTTTACAGCTCCTGAAGCCCCAGCGGGCATGTGTTACAGAGAGCTCTTTTAGTTTAGCTGTCTGTAGGGGGCTTGTGTTAGGGCAATTAGACCCCTGCCTTATCGCAAGGAGAGGGCTTTCTGTATCCGAGGGTTCTTGCCTTGGTATACCAGAAGAATTGGATCACATGTGGGCTTGGAGAATGAGTGCAAGGTTTTACTGAGTGGAAGTAGCTTTCAACAGATGGATGAGCCAGAAAGGAGATGGTTTTCCCCTAGGGTCGGGCTGCTGTGCGGCCCGGGTTCCCCTCCAACCACCTCAGCCAAACTCCACGTTATTCTGCAGGTTGACGGCCTGCTGGCGTGCCAGTGCCTGTTGGTGTGCTCTGGACATCCTCTCAACGTCCAGCCCCTTGTGTGTTCCTCTGCTGATGTGTTTCTCTTGACGTCTAGCCACTTGTGTGCCTGCCTGCTAGGGTTTCAGGGGTTTTTAGAGGCACAGGATGGGGGTGTGGCAGACCAGGGTGGTCTTGAGAAATGCAACATTTAGGCAGGAAAACAAAAATGCCTGTCCTCATCTAGGTCCATGGGCACAGGTGGAACCCTAGCCAGGGACCATGTCCTAGGGTGGAGTCCTAGCCAGGGACCATGCCCTTCCGCCACTTCCATATCATTTAAAGGGAGCACGCTCTTCCCTTCCCAGCACTTCCCTTCTGTATCAGTACCATAATTTTTTATTACAAAAATGAAAAAGCTGTCATAGTTATAATTATAGCAGTGATAGTCAATCTGTAATTACTATAATACAGAGCATAATCTTGTATTGTTTTTGCAATCGCCAATACCAGTAGATGAAGAAAGGGACTCGTCTTGAGCAGCTGTTCCTAGCTATTAGATGTTCAAATGACCTCATGGCAAAGCTGAGGTTTTATTATAATTATGTAGGGGTGTCCCATGGAACCTGAGGGCAGGAATGTACAGGGAACATAGGAAGGACTGGAACCAGTGACTAAAAAGCCACGTAAAGCGGCTTTCCCTCTGCTTACATACACAGCCCCTTAGTTAACATTGTCTGTGTTCCAGCTCAAACTTGGAGAGTGGTACTCTCAATTCCACATTTTCAGGAAAGAGCATCTGATTGGTCCAGATTGGGCTATCTGAGGCCTGGGATAGGGTCAGGGACATGGAGTTTATATATGCCTAAGGGGGCCCACATTTTTGCTGCTGAGATTGGGAGAACAACTATGGAGGCTGTTATAGTGTGAACAGAAACTCCTAAAACAAATAAGAAGCAAGCTTCCGTGATGAAAAAAATGTATTTCTATAAAATGTATATGTTCCATTATACTCACTTGAAAGATCGTATATGGGTTCTTTAGAAGTTACATATCATAGAACCATAATTTTTAATAGGATAGGTAACTTAAGAGATTTCAAAATAGATCAGTTTATAGAATGAATAGTCACTTCCTGCTTTCTTATCTAGATTTTTAAAATAACTGGTGGGTGTAGGAAGAGGTGGAGTGGTGGTGATGTGTCTGCTGTTTTAGTAGTAAGCCATTTGGACAATATGGTCAGTCACCTGTCTATACCTGTCCTGTCCTGTGTTCAACACGCTGTTCACTAGCCTATGGAGTTTTTGTTTTGTTTTGTTTTGTTTTTTTGGGTTTTTTTTTGCTGGAGTCTCGCTCTGTTGCCGAGGCTGGAGTGCAGTGGTGTGATTTTGTCTTACTGCAACCTCCACCTCCCAGGTTCATGCAATTCTCCTGCCTTAGCCTCCTGAGTAGCTGGGATTACAGGCACCCACCACCACCCCCGGCTAATTTTTGTATTTTTAGTAGAGACAGGGTTTCACCATGTTGGCCAGGTTGGTCTCGGACTCCTGACCTCAAGTGATCTGCCCACTGCAGCCTCCCAAAGTGCTGGGATTACACACATGAGCCACTGTGCCCGGTCGCCTATGGATTTGAGTTACTCTTTTCTTTCTTAAAATGAAAGCTACCAGAATAAAACATCCATTTTTATTTACCAGACTCTTATTCCTATTTAATATTTATTAAACCTGTTTTGATGATGTTAATCCGTATTACTAAAGACTGCAAAACTGTGGTCCATCTTCTCCTGTTCTTAACTGCCAGACTTGCTGTGCAAAGAGCGAAATTTTTAAAAGATAAGATGGAAGAAACACAGTGTTACAAGAGAGCTTTGGATGCACAGGTAAGGGGACAAATATTACTGTTTTTAAAATTATGCAATGCTTCAATAACATCCTAAAATATGTATAAGTTGTTATATTTTTATGTGTTGTGCATTTGGTAGTTTTTGTGCCCCACATTCCTTCCTGTAAGACACTGGTATTTTACCACATTACAGGGTTGTGCATAAAGTTTATTCCCTGATAGAATGCTTATGTGCATTATGTGTATCTCTGCATTATGTGTATCTTTGTTTAAGATAAAGAACAAACCCTCCCGGCTGCCGCCCTTTGAGCCAGACTCCTCTGAGCCCATCTTTGGTAAGAATGAAGGTGAACTGATGGTGGAAAAGCAAAAGCGAGAACAAAATTACATGAAACACCAGCTGGAGGCAGCTGCTAACCATAAGAGGAAAGCCATCCTGCATCAACTAGTGGACCAGAGGCGGGATTTGCAAATGCTTCAGAGGACACAAAGAGAGTAAGGAGACCCCTGATCTTTCTCCCTCCACCTTTCCTCACTTATTCCGCCTCCTTTCTCTCTCTTTCTCTACCCTGTCCCTGCCCCTCATCTTTCTCATACAATAGTAGAGAAGTAAGAATAGTAAGAATAATAGCTAACACATTGAGGAGTTATTTGTGTGAGACATTGTTTTAAACTTATTACACGCTTCATCTTGTTTTATCCTAATTCCTTATCTGAAGAAAAAGTTACTAAGTAAAATTTTAAAAACCTCTCCTGACATTTTAGTGTTTTCCAAAGTGGTTGTACTACTATACATTCCCAACCAATAGTGTATGAGAATTCCAGTCCTCCCCATCATTCCCAGCACTTGGGGTAATCAGTCTTTATTTTATTTTATTTTATTGATTGAGACAGGGTTTTGCTCTGTCACCCAGACTGGAGTGCAGTGGCATGATCATGGCTCACTGCAGCCTCAACATCCTGGACTCAAGCAGTTCTCCCACCTCAGCCTCTGGAGTATCTGGGACTACAGGCGAGTGCCACCATGCCCAGCTAATTTTTAACCTTTTTGGGGAGACAGGGTCTCACTATGTTGCCCAGGCTGGTCTTGAACTTCTGGGTTCAAGCAATCCTCCTGCCTCAGCTTCCCAAAGTGTTGGGATTATAGGTGTGAGCCACAGCACCCAGCCCGATCAGTCTTTTTAATTTTAGCTGTTCTAATAGGTGTATAGTGGTGTCTCATGCTTTAATTTGCATTTCTTTAATGACTAGTGATGTTGAACATCATTTCATATGCCTATTTGCCATCCGTGTATCTTCTTTGGTTAAGGGTATAAAGCATCAATCCAAATCTTTTGCTTATTTTATAAACTCTTTTCTCATTGTTGAGTTTTGAAAGTTCTTTATATATTCTGTGTACAAGTCCTTTATCTGATATATTTGTAAAGCCTAAACATGCCTGAAAGGAAGACGTCTTTCCCACTGAATTTTTTAAAAAAATGTAATCCCTTAGGTAAGCATTCAGCTCCTCTTTAGCTTCTGTTTTATAACAGCAGAACCACCATCACTTGTCCCATAGTGGGAAGCAAAGTGTGCTTTCCATAGCCAGATATGGGACCCTCTGTATTTGTTGCTAAGACTATTGCTACTGCCTCTTCTGCTTCTGTTAGCTTCTCTAGTTATTTCCTAAGCTTGGAATCAGGAGGGTTAAACTCTGTCACTTTTAAGTTGTATGACTTGGGCCATATCACATGTAAGGTCTCTGAGCCTTATTGTCCTCATATGAGAAAGAAGAATAATCACATCTGCCCCTCCTATCCTTACTGGGAGAATTAGATGAGATTATGTATGTGAGAGCATTTGCGGAAACTGTACAAATCCCTATTTCTGTATTGGTCAGATCTTGTTTTCTGTTTACATATTCTTTACTGGTTATTGCAGATTCTCTCACTTCCCTTATCTTTTCCAACTCCCTTCCCTGGTCCCTCTCTGGTTCATCTCAACATGTGATCTTAGATTCTCTTGTGTCAAATAGGCGGCCACTTTCTTTCAAAGGGGATAATTTAGTCAGAGTGATCCAGACAGGACTCTAAGCTATTTATACTTGTTTTTTTTCTTTTTGCTCTTATTTTCAAAAATAACAATTCATTCTCATTAAAAGAAATCAACTGAAGGCTAGCTGGGCACGATGGCTCACGCCTGTAATCCTACCACTTTGGGAGACCAAGGCAGGCAGATCACTTGAGCCCAGGAGTTTGAGAACAGCCTAGGCAACATGGTGAAACTCCGTCATTACTAAAAATACAAAAATTAGCTGGGTGTGGTGGTGCGTGCCTGTAATCCCAGCTATTCGGGTGGCTGAGGCACAAGAATGCTTGAACCTGGGAGGCAGAGGTTGCAGTGAGCTGAGATTGCGCCACGGCACTTCAGCCTGGGCGAGAGAGATTGCCTCAAAAAAAAAAAAAAAGGCTAATAATCTCCCCTACTAAGTAGCCAATATATATGTGCATATTGCTTAAATAGGAAATGTTTAAAAATTTTTTTGTAAAAAAATAATTAAAAAATAGGATACATATTAACCTTCATTATTTTTTACAAAAAAATTTAAACAATTTTTCCTATTTAAGCAATATGCACACATATTTTTCCTTCCACTTTTGTAAATGAAATAGTCTATGAGATCTTATCTATTACTCTGCAAACTAATCTTTCTTTAACCTAACAATGTCATATACAAATCAGTACATATATATAAGAATCATCTTCTTTAATAGCAGCATATTATCTATAATATAGATGTATAACAATTTAACTTTTGCATTATTGATGAACATTCACTTTGTTTCCAGATATTTTGCTATTACAACAATTCTGAATTAAACATTTTTAATATAGTGGTTCTTGTTTCTATCAGATAAATTCCCAAAAGTGGGGCTGCTGGGTCAAGTGTATGGTACATTTAATTTTCCCTTTTTTTTTTTTTTTTGAGACAGAGGCTCAATCTGTCGCCCAGGCTGGAGTACAGTGGTGCAATCTTGGCTCACTGAAACCTCTGCCTCCTAGGTTCGGGTAATTCTCATGCCCCAGTCTCACAGTAGCTGGGACTAGAGGCACACGCCACCACTCCTGGCTAATATATGATACATTTGAAATATTACCAGAAACTGACAGTTAAATTGCTAAGAAGGCATAGCAACTTGTTTCTCAGCAGTGTTGTGAGAATGCCAGTTGTCCCCCACATAATCTCTGCCTCATTTTCTTACTTTCTAGGCATTTAAAATGCTTTTAACCTATCGTTTAAAAAATAACATAATAATGGCCAACAAGCAAATGAAAAATGATTAACAACATGAATTATTATGAAAGTGCAAACCAAAATCACAGTGAGATACCATGTCACATCCATCAGGATAGCTACTATGAAAAAAAAATAACAAGCGTTGGTGAGAAGTAGAAACCTTTGTGTACTGTTGGTGTGAACATAAAATGGTACAGTTGCTATGGAAAACAGTATGGTGGTTCCTCAAAAAATTAAAAATAGAACTACTACATCATCCAGTAATTCCCCTCTGGCTATGTATTCAAAAAAATTGAAAGCTGATCTCAAAAGTTATCTGTACAGCCATGTTCATAGCAGTACTTTTTATAACAGCCAAGAAGTAGAAGCATTCCAAGTGTCCATTGACAGATGAACGGATAAACAAAATGTAGTGTGTGTATATATACACACTGTACAATGGAATTGTTATTCACTCTTAAAAAGGAAGAAAGTTCTAACACATGCTACACTGTGGATGAACCTCAAGGTCATTACGTTAAGTGAAATAAACCAGTCACAAAAAGACAAAATACTGTATGACTCCACTTATATGAGTTATCCAGAGAAGTAAAAATCACAGAAACAGAAAGCAGAATGGTGGTTGCCAAGCGCTAGAGGAGGCAGAAATGGGGAGCTGTTTAATGGTATAGTTTCGGTTTTGTAATATGGAAGCGTTCTGGAGATTGGTTGCATAACATGAATGTACTTAACACTAAGTAACTGTACACTTGAAAATGGTTAAGATAGTAAATTTTGTTATGCATTTTTTAAAAACCACAATAAAAAAATCTACAAAAAGAAAAATAACTTATGAAAAAAGTAATAGGTACTCTTCAGTCATTGAGCTCCAACTATGTGATAGGCACTGGCACTTCCTGTGTATCATTTGGTCTTTATAATAACCACACAATAGCTGCTCAATCAATGCTTGTTAGATGAAAAGGTGTGCCGTTTCAGGAAAAAGTGAGACAGTAGAGAGGACATTAACTGATCTTTACTGGAGGATCCTGACACCCAGTGGCTGCTGCTACCTGTAACACAAAGCCCTTCAGAGCAGGCTACATCAACAGTTACATTTTGTGAAGCTCCTTCTAGATTTCAATGAGAACTGACAGTAAACGTTTCAGTTTGGCAAAAAATAGACACATAATCTGAACCAGGCTTAAGGTGATTCACAACAGTAGTGATGGAGTGTTTGGAGACCAGTGATAGAAACACAACACTGGGAATATCTCCCTATGAAGAGAGAGATTATACTGCAGTCACTTCTTCGATGACATGGCCTTCACCAAACATTCCTGTTTTTTTTTTTTTTTCTTGCCTTCTTCACAATGTTAATGTTTTCTCTATTTGCTTTTCCGTTGCTTAGTCACTTGTGTTTATTTTCTCTTTTTGTAGACTTTCATTTGTATACCTATCTATTCTCCCTTGTAAAATGTCTGCAGTGACTGGTAGGCTGAGTACTGGCAGCTTAGAGGCTGGACTAAAAGGAAAGAAACAGAGTATAGGAAATCCATTTGGGATGATTCTTCAGATAAGTTACATTAGCCTCAAAGGAAATTAATAGTTTTACAGGCTGAAGTTGTTAATTGAAAAAAGGTTTCAATCCTATTAAATCAAACCAGGATTGAAGATGAAAGACCTCTGACCCATAAATTATTTGAGAGCTAGAAATTTCAGTATGCTTTTACAGTGTTCACACTTTTTAGTATATTTCAGAGTAGTGAACAAAACCAGAAGGTTTTTCTGTTTAACATAAAAGGAATGGGGCTCCCAAAGTTGGTGCATGCTCTTACCAAGTATTATGGAGTCAGGCTGTTCTTTTCTCTCCAGGCATGTGGCAGACAGAACCGCTGAGCTGGAGCGAGTAAATAGAATCAACCAATGCTTACAGGAGGACTGGGAAAGGAGTGCTGCGATGAAGAAGCAGCGAGACCTGGAGGAGAAGGCTTTTGAACGGTAATGCCTGATTGGAACCCCAAAATTCTCCCGCTTCTTGTGGGACGGTAATGGGTTTCAAGTGGAACTCCACTTGATTAGTAGTGGCTGCCTAGAGAACTCTGTGAAGAAAGCAAGTCTGTATTCCATGGGAAATACTGCCATGATTGATTAGAAATGTCTGTTATAGACATGGGATTGAAGAATGCTGCGTTGTATGCTAGGTATTTACTAACCCTGCTCTAATATTTGCCCTCTGCTTAGGGTGGCTTTATTTGCTTTTTGTGGAGAGTGAAGATTCTCTTTGGAAATAACTATTTGGAAGTAGGGGGAGTGAGTTTCCAATCTGAACATTTTCAAGGCTTAGGGAATGGTTATTTAAGAGCAGGGCCAGGGGTCGTAAGATTGGCAATTGGAAAAGTAAGATGCCTATTATGGAGCCAACCAAGAGCATCTTTCTGAAATTATTATATGCCTGACCTCTCCTCAGCTTAACTATTCACATCACTGCTGTTGTATTACACCTTGAAAACAAAATTAAAATACGAATGTAAGGTATGATTTTATAGCATGTTAAAAATGTGATGAAACAGATCAAGTCTATACAACCAAATTATTAAAACCCAAATATACCAAAATAATAGTTTAAATTGCCAATTATCAATTAATTTTTAATCATGGATAAAATCTGTAGAATGGATCTTGATCTGTAACTCTCCTTTTCCTTTTAGGTTTTCTTGTAAAGCATTTCTCACCTATCTTTCTAATGAGTAGAACCCATATTTTGTGACAATGAAAGTATGAGTGATGATGTGGAAAATAGGATCCAAAGGAGAAGTGGAGTCATTTGACTTAGAAAAAAGGAGAGGAAAGGGCAGTTGGGGATTTCAAGCTATTTTCTCAATGATCTGGGAAGGCAGGTAAAAGTCAGTGAGATTAATGCTAGGAAGATTTCAGTTGTGTTTGGGAAGAGTGCTTGGCCAACATGGTGATAAAGGATTGAGGAGACCCAGAAAATAATGTTGAGTGGCAGGCTAACAAATCTACTCCAGGTATATCGTGAAGCAGACTTGTCTGAGGACCTAGGCCAACTGTGGACAGACACTTGAGCAGGCAGCAGTAGGAAGAAGGAATTGGTTGGTATAAAAAGAAAACAAAGCAAAAGTAAAACCAAAGTCCATATGCATGCAGTTAGCACATGATACTCTGTTCCAGCCAGGTAGGTCTTCCCCTGCTCACTTCCAAGGTAGTTTATTCTTTTTTCTTTTAAGACTGCCCTTGACAATCCTTCTTAAACAGAATTCTGGCTGGATGCCATGACTCATGCCTGTAATCCCAGCACTTTGGAGGGCCGAGGCGGATGGACTGCTAGAGTTCAGAAGTTTGAGACTAGCCTGAGCAAATATGGTGAAACCCCGTCTCTACCAAAAATACAAAAATTAGCTTGGTGTGGTAGTACACACCTGGCATTCCAGCTACTCAGGAGGCTGAGGTGGGTGGATCGCTGGAGCCCAGGAAGTCGAGGCTGCAGTGAGCTGTGATCGACCCACTGCATTCCAGCCTGGTGACAGAGGGAGACCCAGTATCAAAAAAAAAAAAAAAGAAAGAAAGAAAAGAAAAGGAAAATCCACCTATGGAGAAATTTTGATGGGGTGGAAGAGCACATGAGGGACTGTCTTTCATAATGAAGAAAAACTATCAAAGGGGAAAATCAGTTACTACTGCCTGTTTATCTCTGCTTTTAGTTGCTTTCGTCTTCCTCTTTGTCTCCACTCCCTTTCCTGCCTTTAATTCTCCAGAGGCTTCTGGCCTCCTGGGATATTTCACTGTAAGTCCACTTAACTCTCTGCTGTTGTTAGCTGATAACCAGCAACTTAATGGTTGATCTTCCTCTCAAACACTGTCTCCTGGGAGCTCAGCAGGTAGAGGTATAATCCACATGGCAAAACAGTCAATACAGAGGCTTTGGAGCCACTGTCGGCTGGCTGTGTGACCTTCAGCAAGTTCTCTGTGGGCTTGGGTGGCTGAGGCTGGGAGGGGTAGAGTCAGACTGCTGTGAAGGCACAAGTTGGGGCTTTTTATTAAGTGGAGAATGACAAGCCAGCAGAGGTTTGGAAGCAGGGGATGTCAGGAGGGGGTGAACTGCCACATGGCAAGCAGGGAACACAAGGTGTTACTTTTCTTTTGTGTACCTCCTGCCATACCAGCTTCCAAGTTGGGCCTCTAGAGGCTCCAGAAACCTGCTAATCTGCATTCGCTCTCCTCTCCTCAGGGCTTCAGACAAGCTGTTTCTCCTAGACCAGTGTGAGAAGTATCGGCGCTGCAAGCAGTGCCAGAGGCGCACCTCCAATGTGGGCGAGAGCAACCTGTGGCCCCTGAACAAGTTCCTGCCAGGCTCCCGGTTGCTTGTGTAAAACTCAAAGTTTGGATCTGTGTTTCCTGGGGAAAGTTTTTATCTTTTACATGTTTGGGGGCAATTGTGAAACTGCATATTTTTACCTCAGAGAAAAAAATCATTGTTTAGATTTGGTGCTTTCATTAGATTGCTTGTTAAGCCCTTATTGAATTCACTCCTGCCTTTCTCCCACCCCCACTTATTTCCTATACTCATCTCTGATGGCAGTGAAGGTGTCTAAATGGTCCTGAGGGCTAGAACCTGCTGCACAGGGGCTGGGAAGGGGACCCAGATTCATTATGGCTGCTGGGGTACTGCTGACCCAGCCCTGCTGCTGCTCCGTGACTTTGTGTACAAAACTTTTTTCGTCTGTAATGAATAGTGGCAATAATAAATATTTTCTAAGTGCCCGACTGTGCACGACAATTCATAATGGTACATTTTACCCCTCTCTCCTCCCCCAACCCTAGACTTTTCCAGAGGGGTATATGTGTGAACATCACAGAGATGGGTCTATTTACCTAGGAGGCCAGAAAAATGCTCCCTGAGTTTTCTCATTGATGACATACCTGGGACTTTAGTGGGGCCTCCCAAGATATCATTCCCTTGTCCAGCTATTTCCATGCCCTTGGAATAACTGTGCACTGTGAGGTAAGTCTCCCACTACTTCACTTCATTCTTGAGCTGTAGGTGCTGTTTAAGAGGACTCATCTCCCTGTCAGAGAACTGACTTTTAGTTAAGGTATGGCTGTTCTCAACTAAAAACTTTCTTCATTTATCTGCGTACTTTCTTCTCTCCCTGCCCTGTCCGACTAATTGAGGTAAAATAGAGTGAAGTCTAGATTTCTGAAATACAAAAGCTAAGAAGGAAGTCTCTTAGACTATTTGTTTTCTGCCTGCCACATCTCTCCCTTGAGAAATGAGGGAAAGTTTATGTGGGAAGATGTTTGTGAACATTTAAACTTTCATTTTGCCCTACTACAAATACAAAATAGGAATGTGTTGAGCCCTGAAAAGTTAAGGAGAAAATATTCACTCAAGCTGATACTGGACAAATTTTGTTGCTAATGTTATCTTTTTCTATGAAAACAAGCATACCTGCTGATGATCACAATTTTTTGGAACCTCTTCTCTAATCTTTCTCCATTTCTGCCTTTCATTTCCTCAAAAAATCATTCTATGGAGGGCCAATCTGTAGGGAGACCCCATGAAACTATTGCTATGGAATAAAAGATGAAATGCTCCTGATTATTGTGAATACAAAGTTGCATGTAGGATTGTGTAAAGACAATGCCAGGTTGGACTGCCAGAATAAGCCAACAGTGCGTGACGTGCTTCCCCCTGCAGAGAGCCTACGAACGAATGTGCAGTCAGAGAGGTTTCACATCACCAAGATTCCTATCCCAGAAAAGCAGATGTTCACACCTCTGGGAATGGAATGCGACCCTTGTGGAGAGCCTATAAACAGATTCATGAGGGGCACCTGTTCATATGGATAAGATAGGGTTATAAACGCCCTCATCTTGCCATGGCTCTTCTGAGTGTCTTTAGGGTCAAGGCACACTCCCTTCTGAGAATTTCTGTTCCAACCAGTTGTCTACCTTCACATCCTGTTTCTATGGATTGTTTGTAACCAGCTTTTGCTGCAACTGTTACTGCTGATTAATATCTTGCTAATCATAGGTTATGGAAAGACTGTGTTTCTGTTTTAAGGCTGTGTTAGAAATTACCGATGCACACACTATATTGTAAATTCTTATCTCTGTATACTGTACTTCTGCATACAGATGTTATGTTAAAGAATTACTTCATCCCCATGTGACCATCTCACCTCATAACCCAATGACCCTAAATCCCTCACTAACCTACCCCCGCCCTCACTAAACTTAATAATAAATGCTGGCATATCCACTGCATTGGCGGCATCGCAGGACCAGAAGGCAGTGACCCCTCTGGACCCAGCTTTCACTACCTTGCGTGTGTCTATTATTTCTCGACCTGCCAATCCGCCTGGGAACAAAGAGCCCCTTTGCATTGCAGACTGCTGGCCAGATCCCGCAATACCAATCATCATTAACCAATATTTAAAACAACAGGCTTTCCCCAACACTGCCTGACCTGCCTGAATCTATATCTGCTGCACCCTTGAAGTAATTTGTTTCTAATATGTAATAAATTACTATAATAGTGTTATACTAATATATTTTTTAAAAATATAGAATGCTGGCTGGGGGCAGTGGCACACGCCTATAATCCCAGCACTTTGGGAGGCCGAGGTGGGTGGATCATGAGGTCAAAAGATTGAGACCGTCCTGGCCAACATCGTGAAACCCCGTCTCTACTAAAAATACAAACATTAGCTGGGTGTGGTGGCACATGCCTGTAGTCCCAGCTACTCGGGAGGCTGAGGCAGGAGAATCACTTGAACCCGGAGGTGGAGGTTGCAGTGAGCTGAGATCACACTACCACATTGCAGCCTGGTGACAAAGCGAGACTCCGTCTCAAAAAGAAAAAAAGTAGAATTCCTTGTTAAAGAAAAATAAGTTAATTTTGGTATGTTCAGGTGAGCAGATTTAACTTCATAGACCTTTTTACTGGAGGAATTGAATTTATAATTTACTGTCATGGGTAGCAGTCAGTACTACAGTCAGACCCTTAAAAATTGTTTTTAAAAATTATATATTGACAAATTATAGTTGTATATATTTACGGGGTATAAAGTGATATTGTGATTTTTGAATACAATGTGGAATGATTAAATCAAGTGAATTAAAATGTCCATCACCTTAAATATTTAACTTTTTGTGATAAGAATATTTGAAATTTATTCTTTTAGAGACATTGACACGTAAAGTGCTCATTATATTCACCACACTGTGCAACAGATCTCAAAAAGATATCAAACTTGGCTGGGCGTGGTGGCTCACACCTGTAAACTCGGCACTTTGGGAGGCCAAGGCAGGCGGATCACCTCAGGTCAGGAGTTCAAGACCAGCCTAGACAACATGGTGAAACTCTGTCTCTACTAAAAATACAAAAAGTTAGCTGGGCATTGTGGCACGCACCTGTAGTCCCAGCTACTCAAGAAGCTGAGGCAGGAAAATCGCTTGAATCCAGGAGGCGAAGGTGTGCAGTGAGGCTGGAGATCCGTGCCACCAACACTCCAACCTGAGTGACAGAGCAAGACTGTCTCTCACACACACACACACCACACAACACACACACACACAATCAAAACTTATTTTTCCTATCTGAGGCTTTGTACACTTCAACTATCATCTCTCCATTCCTCCACATCCCCCACCCTCTGGGAACTATCATTCTACTCTTTTGCTTATATGAGTTTTAGACTCCACATATGAGAAGATCTGGCATTTGTTTGTGTTTGGTGTACTTCACTTATATAATGTTCTCCAATGCTATCCACAATACCTTTACTTTTTATTTCTATGAGATCAACTTTGTTTTTTTTTTTTTTTGAGACAGAGTCCGCTCCTGTTGTCCAGGCTGGATGCAGTAGGTGCAATCTTGGCTCATGCAAGCTCTACCCCTCTGGGTCATACCATTTTCCTGCCTCAGCCTCCCGAGTAGCTGGGGAACTACAGGCGCCCACCACGCACGCCCGGCTCATTTTTGTTTTTTAGTAGAGACAGGGTTTCACTGTGTTAGCCAGGATGGTCTCAATCTCCTGACCTCGTGATCTGCCTGCCTCAGCCTCCCAAAGTGCTGGGATTACAGGCATGAGCCACCATGCCCAGCCAAGATCAACTATTTTTTAGCTTCCACATATGAGTGAGAACATTCAGCGTTTAACTTTCTGTTCTTGGCTTACTTCACTAAATTCCAGTTCCATCCATGTTGCCATAAACGACAGCATTTCATTCTTTTTCATGGCTAAATATTATTCCATTATGTATATGTAACACATTTTCTTTATTCATTCATCTATTGTTGGACACTTGGGTTGATTCCACATCCTGGCTATTCTGAATAGTGCTGCAAAGAACATCTCTTTTGACATATTCATATTTGACTTCAAATCTTTAGGACAAATAACCAGAAGCGAGAGTGCTGAGTCATATGGTAACTGGGATCATATGGTAACTGTATTTTTAGTTTTTTGAGGAATCTTCATACAGTGTTTCATAATGGCTATACTAATTTATATTTCCCACCAACAGTGTACAAGGTTTTTTCCGTATCTTAGCCAACACTTGTTATCTTTTCTTTTTGATAATAGCCTTTCTAATATGTGTGAAGTCATAGCTCATTGTAGTTTTAATTTTCATCTCTCCAGTGACTAGTGATGTTGAGCATTTTTTCATGTATTTGTTAGCCATTCATATATCTTCCTTTGAGAAATGTTTATTCAGGTTCCTTGCCCATGTCTCCTTTTTTTTTTTTTTTAAATAGAGTTGAGTTCCTTATATATTTTGGATATTAATCCCTTATCATATGTATGGGTTGCAAATATTTTTCTCCCAATCTGTAGGTTGTCTCTTCACTCTATTAATTGCTCTCTTTGTTGTGTAGGAATTTTTTATTTTGATGTAATCCCATTTGTTTACTGCATATGTTGCCTGTAGTTTTGGGTCAAACCTAAAAAATCATTGCCCAGACCAATGTCATGTAGTTTTCCCTGTGTTTTCTTCTAGTAGTTTTACAGTTTCCGGTTTTATGTTTATGTCTTTAATTCATTTTGAGTCGATTTTTGTATATGGTGTGAGATAAGGGTCCAATTTCATTCTCTTGTCTATGGATATCCAGTTTTCCCAGCACCATATATAGAATAGCCTGTCCTTTTCCCATTGTATATTCTTGGCACTTTTGGTGAGTATCAATTGACTGTAGATACATGGGTTCATTTCTGGGTTCTTTATTCTGTCCATTGGTTTGTATGTCTATTTTAATGCCAGTACCATGCTGTTCAGTTACTATCAGTTTGTAGTATAGTTTGAAATTAGGTAGTGTGATACCTCAAGCTTTGTTCTTTTTGGTCACAATTGCCTTGGCTATTTGTTTGTTTGTTTTGTAGTTCCGTATGAATTTTAGGATTGTTTTTTCTATATCTATGAAAAATAACATTGGAATTTTGATAGATATTGAACTGAAATCTGCAGATCATTCATGTAGTATAGACATTTTAACAATATTAATTTTTCCAGTCCATGAACATGGGATCTATTTCAATTTATTTGCCTTCTTCAATTTCTTTTGTTAATGTTTTATAGTTTTCTTTATATAAATCTTTTGCCTAATTGGTTAAACATATTCCTCAGTAATTTATTTCTAGTAGCAACTATAAATGATAGTTCTCTTGATTTCTTTTTTGGAAAGTTCCTTGTTAATGTAAAGAAAGGTTACTGACTTTTGTGTGTTGATTTTGTGTCCTGCAAGTTTCCTGAATTTG